ATCAATCCAAGGACAGCAGTCCAACCAATGATCAAAAAGTCACTGCAGACTTTGTTTTTGTCCCTAAAAAGCTGCCTTCTAAGGTGCTTTTTGATATAACCGAACTCCAAGTTAAAAATCTGGACTGGAGGCCTGAAGTTCACTGCCCCTCAATTTGCAGTTACAGTATCAAAAAAATATATTTACCAACTTGTCTCCTACTATCCACATCAGCATGCTGTTTCATAGTGTATGAGCACCAGAACGAGAACGGATTTTATTATTCTGATGGGTACTTACTTGACAAAATGCATTAGTATGTCTGTGGACCTCAGAGGATAAAATTAGAAAAGAAAGACAAAGAAAGCTTTAAGAACTTGTAGAATGAGATTAAATTTCTTGTGATGGTGACTTATTAGCTTTCTGTTATACCTTTCTGTGAGACAACATACTGCTGCTAAAGCCAATTTTCAAGAGGAAAAAAGTATTTACTTCTCTTAAACTGAGTGTATAATGAAATTTGTGTTATTATCTAAGGTCTATAAACTAATATAACTCAAACAGACATTAAAACCCCATTACATATCACACAATAAGAAGGAAACTGGCTGATTTCCTGGCATCTAAAGTCATGCAGCTTAGGTTTTATTATGTATGACTGATTTGATTCAGACTAAAATTACTGCATCTACAGTACATATTGTACAAAGGTAATTTAGCTGCAAAACAATTCATTGTCACTGTTTTGTTTTTTGTTCTTTTCTTTTGAGAGTACAGGAAGAACCAAATGAAAAGTGACCCTACTACACGAGGAGAAAACAACATATAAATACCATATGAAAACAACAGACAGCTTCTTGATATACAAAGTAATTTTACTGAATAAACTGCAAAATACAGTACATTAGGCTGAAAATATGATAAACATGTATTTATGTTGTTGATGCTGTTATCTTCTGTGATTACTTCAACAATAGAAGATTAAAGCCTAAGTCAAATCTCTTGGGACAAAAAATAGAAACACAGACATTCTATAGAATCAGGGTTCGGACAGAAAAAGCAACACACAGACTCTCAATACTGTAACAACAACATTAGTCCTCCATTCACACAAGTATAGTAACCCCCCTCCATGACAGTGCTGCCTACTGCGCTGTTGTCATTCTAGCATCTCTATCCAGGTCTGTAAATTAGCCCCACCTCACACCCGCAAACGTTAGAAGAAACATCTTTTTGAACTGCAAGCAGTCATTTCTTTTGTTCTTTCTTTTTTTATATTTATTACAACACAAAACATACAAATACATATAGGACATTAAAAGGGCAGGACACAGAAGACAAAACAGTGGTTATATTGATGGAACATATAAATGCATGCAATTATAATGAGTCCACAGATAGTGTGTGAGTGTGTTCAGTACAAGGGCCTACTGTAGGTTTGGTCTCAACATTGACCCCCAACCTCACACCCCTATTTGTTCAGCATAAGGTACTAGGCGGCATATCAACAAAGGACAAGACATGGCATGTACAGAATGATGTTATGTGCTGTGGAGTGCAGGCAATAAAAGAAAGAGATTAAATCACCCGAAAAAGTACATTTTCACCCATGCTTGAGGTATGATCTTACTACTATGACCTTACTGTCAGCACACTGACGGCCAGCTGTCGCCTTGTCCATGTAAGTGAACAAATTCAATATTTGCACACAATGCGAGCTTCAAATTTTTTCCTCTCTTTCAGTCACTAAAATGCTAGCATGCTATCTTGAAGACGTAGTCTCAGGAAGGGCACAACAGAACATAATGCGCAAAAAAAAAGCTGGGGTTGGGCTGGAAGCATAGTGGTATTACTAGAAAAATAAAATAAAAGTGCCCACAGATCACATTGTCTTGCACAAAGAGAGTGGGACAAAGAAAGAGTGAAAACCAGTGTTGACACTGGTTTGGGCTTTTTTGAGAGTGTTAACAATGGGCAAAGAACTCACATTTGATTCAGATGTAGCATTCATCATTCAGGATGCATTAGCATCTAAACCTTGATAACAGCATGGAAAGCTGTGAGACACAAGTCAAAACCTGTTGACAACAAGATTGGCGCCATTTTTTCTTAACTGTGAAATGGTTTCTCACTCTACAGTACTACATCTACATGTGAGCACCAGAAATAGATCCTATCTTTTGGCAGATATCAAATGAGAGCTGAACAGAAAGGAGATGAAAAGAAAATTATTAACACCATAAACTGTATTTTAAACAGCTTCTTTGTATATGGGGAAAAACAGATTACCACCAGAAAGACTGAAATGAATCTGATCAAACAGGTGACAGCTGAGGCTGTGTCCTGTGTATCTGTTTTGTCTAATGGAACAGAAAGTTTCTACATTTCTGTTGCACTTTGACATAGGATTTTAATACATATTGCATCTCTGAATTGTCATTTTTTCACATGGTCAATGGCTTCTCAAAGGTAAATGCTCTACTTAAAGAAGAAGAGGAGAATGCAAAACTTTATGCAGAAGAATCAAAATAAGGAGTACTCCTGAAAAAAGGGACTCAAGTCACAAACATTTGTTTTTCACTATAGCCAACAATTCTCACTTAATTCCTACATAAAAGCAATTGTGTGGGTGACACTCATTTTTTTTCGAACCTGGCCACATTGCCTGTAGCCAGACAGAAATTTAAACAGAAACATGAGGTATTATTAGCTTGACAATAGTACCATTCCATGTTAGCAAACACTTCATTTTCTCACACACGTACACAGACAGAAAGCTGCTATCCCTGATTCAAATCTTGGCTGGCTGTTTTTCCCTTAAAGAGCATACTTCCAGTCCCTCTCCCTCACTACCTAACTCTCTCATAATCAACCTGTAAGTTTATTAACCCACCCAGTTGCCTGTTTATATCTATAGAAATAAAACAGATCTCTCAGTTTGTACCTCTAAACATTGAAGGTGTAATGCTTAGAACCGTTAAGCCATAATGTCTTGATTATGCCTCTGCAACATTTAGAGCAGGGTTTGCAAACCCTCATGCATATGCATGACCTGATTACCACTTCTCCTTTAGAGTAAACATGCAGCCCAAAGACTGACAAATACTACAGGATATGGTGCACACATACTACATAACAAACACTTAAAGTGCATGCAGAAAAACTAAGCAAAAACATAAGAATACAAGCATGCATTCATATTTGCATGCATTTTGAAATGCTGTGTAAAAGCTGGATCTTTAAAAAAAAGTGAAGTTGTAATCCTTTAGTGACTATGGTGAATCATAGTGGCACATAAGTGAATGACACTAATCAGTAATTAATAGTCCGGGGTAGATTTTTCATTAAGCAAGTGAAGAAAGTGTGCTTGACAAGTCAGCAAAGTAAAGTGTAGCCAGTATGAGCTGTCATGAATTTCAAGCAATAACATCCAGTGGTCCTGACCTAGAAACTAATCAAGGTCCAACATCATCAAGGACATTGTCCTTTAGGAGGCACAGAGGCAGGACAAAAGTGTCCTCCAGGGAAGTCTGGAGCAAGGACATACAAGTGTACACAGTGGACTTAAAACTAAATAATATGATATGCCAATATTATCCAGCTAGCCTAGTTTGATGTCACATCAGAGCTATGACAAACTTTTTTAAGGGGCAATATGCAGTTTTATATCTGCCATACTGTATGAGGGAAAATATATATGAATCTATAGCTGTAAATGTACAAAGAAACAGACCAGGGCATCACTGGGCTTGCATCATATTACTTAAGCTGTGCATCATGAGTACCTGATTGAACTTGACTGAGTAAGACTTTCTCAGACATCTTAGTTCCAGTACTTCATTCTCACCCATTGAAGTTGTGAGGACTGGCTAAAATGTCCCCACATCTCCAACATGTCTTCACAATGGCATAAAAAAAGCAAAAATAACACTGGTCCACACAATGTAATAAGGATAAGTATACGCACACAATCACAGAATGCTCTTTTAAATTTTAATTATTCAAACAGCCAAACACCCATTAAAAAGGTATACAGTAATCTTTGACACACACAACTGCATCTAATTGCCCAGTCACACAAAACAAATAAAGCCACCTTCTGTTTTGTATAACACATGGACTCTACTCCCCATTCATATACAGAATGAAATCTTCATCATCCCCTACTGTTATTTTCAAGTAGGTTTACAGGGCTCATAAACAGTTTTTATGTGGTCAGTATGGTTGAGTGTGTCTGGTACACTGTGTTCTCTACTCACAACTCCAGATTGTCAATATAACAGTAAAAATCTCTGTAAACACCCTCTTCTCATACCACCATGAATTCAGTTTAACTGTCAAGCACACTTTAGATGTTGTCATATTCCTTTTAACAACGGTAGGAAAACAAGATATGTTATACAGGTCTGATTTCATCTGCTCCCAGAAACTAAGCAGGGTTGGCTTGGTTAGTACTTACATGGAAAACCACCTGGGAATACCAGGTGCAGAGGCTACACCCAGCCACTGGGGTTGCACACACTAGTGTGCTCCATGTACTGGTCCCAGTCTTGGTTAAAATGGGTCACTAGCATCAGGAAGGGCATCCAGTCAAACACCTGTGCTACTGTAAATCACATATGCAGATTGCAGTAATCTGCTGTGAAGACCCCCAGATGATGAGGAGCAGCTGAAAGAGGAACAGCAGCACCCTTTAATACCCACTCCCTTCACCGCTGTCTCTGACTGATTCTCCAAGAACAGCCCTGAGTGGAAACCTTTAGCTTGTGCTGTAATTGCCTCAGCTGTGCTGTCCAGACACTGGTCCAGACCAAGACCCACATATGGACACTGGCGCACATACTGTACAGTTTCCCAATGCTTGTTTCCAAGGGATCCCTAAGGAGATTCCACTGTTAGTAGATAATTGGTTTCTAGCCTTCACAGTACCACAATTCTTCCTTCCTATTCCCTTCTCTCTGGCACTTTTAGGCTCTCTCTAGATATATCTGATGCTGCATTTTGTAGTGTATACACTAATGGTGTGCTTTGGGTATAATCTGTGTGCAAACAGAGGAAAAAAAAACATTATTTTAGCACAATATTCTGCTATAAGATAGCATATTATTTAGTTTTATTACTTTATTAAGAGTACTTACCTGCTAGATCATTAGTGATCATTTAATATTTATGCTAATAATGGAGAGCGATTCAGAAAAAGGGAGTTGAAGCCATATCAGTTCATCTGTTTAGCCCCTGTAGCCCTAGCCCAGTTTCAGCAATGTCTTAACAGGAGGTGAGAGAGAGAGAGATTCAGCAGAGCTACAGATACACAGTTCTCCCTTTAACAAGTCAACTTGGAAATGATCTCAATACACACACAAACAAATGCACACATGGTCCCATACACACACACACACACACACACACACAAATTAATCATGTTCAAGAGACACAGCAATAGTAAAATGTCAGCACAAACCCATGCTAACATACAATACATTCTGGTGCCATTTGCGCAAGGTGAACATAAACACAAATATCCAAGCACACACACACACACACACACACACACACAACTTGGAGTTCCTCAGTGGTACCATCAATTTCTCAGTCCCTTGCTAGAGCGGCAAAATATGGCATCTCGTTTCCAGCATTCCATATAGGTCAGTTACCATGACAACCACTGCATGCCTGTCCAAGCACCCTAATATTTACTCAGCAGATACATGTTTGCTGTCTGCCTCTGAGGTAGGTAATGATACTGGCCCACCTGGTGGTTTCTATATAACAGACTTGATCTATAATACATGACACCAACAGAATTCTGGTCATGCGGCTGCTTTGACTTATTTTATAACTCAGTTTTGATTTTTTTTCATTTTCTTTTCTTACACTGTTAAATATTACCACATTTTTCTGAATATTTGTTATCTATAGGCTCTATTTTGCCTTTAAAAGGCTGACATAGACTACATCATTTAAAAACATCTAACATCATCTGCTGAAGGAACTTAAGTCAAAAAGATTGTACATCTCTTATCACGTTGGCTTTTTTAGTTGTTTTTGGAAATACAAAACAACATCACTAATGGGGAAAGAAACACAAGTGATCAAATACTGTACAGGTTGCAACAAAGACAATAGTCCTAAATCCTCGCAGTGGAACATCAGTGTTTTTAGTAACCCCCTAGGCAGATTTAACCTTGATTTGATTTGATTTGATTTGATTTATTCTTTCAAACATGTAAAACAGTTGATATGACAACACACATAATTTTACACATAATCCAATATCAATGTACTTATACCTAGTACATGCTTGAATGGAGTAGGAAGAAGTCAGACTTATCCAGTCCTACCCCATGACATCATCTTACCATCATTGGTTTGCAAGCAGTAAATGATTCACTTCTACACACACACATATTATACTAAAAAAAGAATATAACAGTGTTAACATTCTTACATCACACAAGTGATATACTAAAGAATGGTTACAAAATATACACCACACCCACAATAGTCCATGTAGTTAATCATTGAGCCTGTTCTTGCATATATCTTCCTTTGACCTCATGATTCTCATTTGCTCTGACATGCACTGTGAGCTGTAGGGTCTTATATAGACAGGTGTGTGGCTTTCCTAATCACGTCCAATCAGTATAATCAAACACAGCTGGACTCAAATGAAGGTGTAGAACCATCTCAGGGATGATCAGAAGAAATGGACAGCACTTCCTGGCTTTATACATAAACACAGCAGTCTTATATCCCACTAAATCAAAAAATTTTAACAATTTAGACTGTATGAAAGCTACATTGGTGTGATCCCTATATCCCATCTTATGCACAATTCTTATCGCTCTTTTTTGTAATATATACAATGGTTGAAGTGAGCTTTTGTATGTATTTCCCCAGTTTTCAACGCCATACTCTAAGTATGGTAAAATCAATGAAGAATACAAAATGCATAGTGCTTTCCCGTCCAAAATATATCTAACCCTTGCCAATATCGATATATTTTTTGCTATTTTATTCTGAACATATCTGATATCTGTTTGGTGGCCATGCCGACTGATGGTGTGGTTCTCTGCACTGGACCAGTTGAAGCAGATATCCCCCAACTACCAGGGGGTGGTAGTGAGCAAACTGCTGCTTGCTGCATCAGAGCAAGGAGAAGAAGATGTCAAACTACAGTACAGTGGGACAAGTCACAAAAAAGGTCAGATTTGTGCTTTACTGAAGGTGTTTTTCAAACATCGTGGTCTACATTTTGGAAACAGGACAACTGATATGTTGCCACTTAACATGTGTAAAGATCGATGATGATCCAGCCCCCCTTTTCAAATTCTGTGATATGAATGCAGTTATACTAGTGAAATAACCATATGTAATATTCGGGTAGATACCATCACAGTCCCCACGGCATTATTTTGATATTTTTATATTGCATCATGAAATTACAAATATTGTTACATCCCTAATTAGGCCACAAAATAAATGACAGAAAGTCCACACAGTTACTGTGGGGTAAACAATTAAAGCATGATATGGACAATCATATATGATACATATGGTGCTATCACTGGGAGAAATGGCATGTAAGATTTGAATCTTATAGGCTCTAGTTACTTTATACTTTCATAACTTTAGTTTCCTTTAGTTACTTTTCAGAACTTTATTTTCCTTGCTTATATATATTAAAACTGTATTGATGACTGCCGTATTCTACTGAGTGAAACTTTGGATCTTTATGCTGCAAATTCTGTGGAGACAGGATGTCTGTGCCTTCAAGTAACCAGACAGCCTATTTTACATTTTAACCTGACCTGTTGGCCTGTTTTTCACCTTCACCTAGACCCGCTTAGCTTATTCCAAGTTCTGCTTTGTCATGTGGTGTCTTGCAGAGACAGGGGGCCTACAGCCTGAGATGACCACCTGGCCCATTTAGCATACTCACTAGGTCCTGCTTTGTCCTGTAATAGTCTACACAGATAGGGGGTCTGCAGCACAGACAACCATTTGTTCAGTACTCAGATTACTAGCTACCACCTGAAAATTACAACATACACACACATTTGGTTTCTAATACAGGTACAGTAAACTGACGTGAACCAGGGGTTGACCTGCTCACGCCAAATGGCCAATACGATTATGAAGCATGAAACGTTGCACCTCTGTACAGGGCGGACTGAGCCCGAGAAGATAAATGTAATGAGAAAATGTAGCTTGTGGCTCAGAGAACGGATTTCCTGCATGAGCTCTGTCTCTCTGATCCCAGCGCTGTATGACTTCACCTGTGCCCAGACTTTGAGTAAACTTCCTGTTGATTTTATACAGTCCTCTCCTGTCTTCACTTCTTATGCTTTCAATAAAAGAACCGGGTAAAAATCTAACAGACAGGGCTACATTATAAATCCAAACTTCCTGTATGCTGTAGGTTTTTATGGCAATCTTCCATTGACTTACCATAATCATTGAAACAATGGCCAGTTCTGCAAAAATAATGTCAAATTTCTAAGCATCTGCAACTATCCCAGGCCATTTACAGTAAGAGCTCTAAATTGTAAAATAGGATTAAGTCATGTCAGTGGATCAGTGCACAGTCAACATCTAATTTTAGCCAGTGTGGTAAAAGAAGAGGCCTTGGAAACGTTTAGGATTAGCGAGAGGAGGACCAAGGACAAACAGGGGTTGTAGGACCAACGAGAAAGGTGAACATGTTCTAAGAAGGTAAAATCTCCTCCGTTTACAAGTACTAGATGGTACTATAAAGTCTTACCTTGTACTGAAAACACACACACACACACACACACACGCAAGCAGGCTGATCCATAAAACCTTGTAATTCCTTCAATCCATGTTCAAACCATCTGTAATGTGTAAAGTGTTTGCTATGTAATGCAACAGAAGGACTGTTACCTGCTTTCCTTGACTGTTACAGTCCAACCCCACCACCCCCTAACTTACTATATCCCAAGTGTCTGTTGGTCTATAGTGGGGTAAAACAACAAGCAAGCTCTTTGTGTCTATCATTAGCCACTGGGGCCAACTCACTCTCTTATTAAAGACAGCTCACCACGTTGGGCAATGTCTGTTTGGCCAACTGCTCCACACACATACACATACACAGTTCCTGTACTAGTCAAATATTGGAATAGGTGAATACAATCAGACTACAATGTACAAGAAGCAGCAGCATGCAGGGGAAAAAATGTACATGCAGTGATGGAAAATTTAAAGATGAGTCAACAGATAACTGAACAGAGCCAATAAATGTTCTAAAACATGAAGGACACAGGCCAACATGCTCACTTTACATAGTTCAGCACTACTGCAGAGGGAGACAATGAATGAACCCAGTCCTTCATCATCAACTTACATTGCTATATCTCTTTTTGGCCTCAAGGGGGCAGAAAGGTCACCTCTGAGTAAGTGAATAAATGAATGAATGAATGTGTGTGTTTACATGGATATGAGTATCCAGGTTAATAAGAGTATCCCAGTTTTGATATATCATGACTTGGCTCTTAGGCCATTACATAAATTGGAAATGGACACAATACTGCCAATAATTTAACTTAAATAAAGAGAAATGAATGAATAAAACATAAAGTGTGTAAATCAGTCACATCAGTGTGTGTAGAAATGGTGTAATGATGTTGAGGTGTAGAAACCTAATCAAAGGAAAACAGTTTAAAAAAACAGCAGCAACAGGGGATGATGAGCGTAAGGCAGCAGCAGCCGGGCCCAGCAGAGCCTCACAGCCAAGCCACCCGCAAATGACTGGGAGCTGAATCCCGCTCTGTTCCCCACCGCAATCAGATCATGTCAGCATAAGTTACCCACAAGATAGCACAGACACACCCACATGGACACAGACAGACACACTTTAGGCAGGGTCATCACAGATCATATTCAGCATATGGTGTTCACATGGAACACAGAGAAATCTGTTTATGCATAGCCCCATAAACATTATAAAAACAAGTTTTCTGGTTTCTGATGATACTAAATCTTCAGTCTCCTCAGCTGTGTCATCTACTATATCTATTGATATATGATTACATGATCATTAGTGTGTGTGTGTGTGGTAATGTTAATAACCTTTAAGCAACTTAATACTAACTGACGTTAATGTATGATGTACCTACACACACTGTAAAGGCAGAAGAGAATATGTGATTACTTCTGGTTCACATTTGCTACATGTGAAGGCTAAGAATAAAGACAGGGAGGAGGAGGAAATTACACATTAATAGATGTTTTGTTCTATTAAATGTACTACAAGAGATGTACTGAATACAAATCCTGAGGTCTAAAAGCTGAATACTGGACGACTCCTGGCAACTGTGGTTGTGAAGTTTCTAATCTGACATAACAGACTAAAATTTACATAAAGACAATATGCAGAAACACAAAAATGCACAGTTGTAAAATAAAGGATCAGTGCTAAATTGCTAGTTATAGTTAACTGTATTGAATTACTATAGTAACTGTCTCATCAAAGGCCTATTATCATGGCAACCAAAAGAAAGAGAACAGTATTGATGCAACACACGGGAAACACTGATCTGTCTGGTTTAGTGGCAGACAACCAGCTTTTAACTGAGGATATTGTGTGCAAGTGCAAATTAGAGCTGACTGAAAGGATAACTG